AATTCTCACAATGACCCCCCCCAACATAGGGATTATTTTCATAACTATTTTACAGATGAAGAAACTGAGGCACAGAGTAGATAGTAGACTGCACACAGGTAGTAGGAAGTGGCAGAGTGAGTATTTTGAGCCTGGGACCTTCAGACACCAGGGTCTTTATTTTGTGTCCCACCACCACACCAAAAGAGCAGATCAGCCTAATAAGAGATTTTTGTTTGTCCTAATTACATATTAATTATAGGGCGCTGGGAAGATTTACAGTCTAGAATTGTTCCAGTCACCCTCAGCCTCTCCCTCTCATCTAATAGGAAATGCATGACTTGTTCTCCTGTGGGGGTTCTTGGTGTCTGTTCTTCCTTCTGGTTGATGGCCACCACCTTATCCAGGCCTCATGTCACCTCTGGATATTACCAAGCACCCGTGTGTACACACACACCCAAGCTTCCGCATGGTTTCATTGTCCTTAGATTTGCTCTTGAAAAACCAGTATGCACATCTTCACCAGGAGAGCTTTCTAGATGTCCGCTTATACTACACTGTTTTGCTCAGTTCAACAATCTTCACTGACTTCCCTTGCTGGAAGAAAATCCCAAATCCTGAACAGGGCATTCGAACTGAAAACGATTTCCTTCTCCATCATATCATACCCTCTCTCTTGGTTCAAATGCTGTAGGCCAAAGGGCCTCCTCACTGCTGCCGAGACAAGTGAAGCCATCCTGCCTTCATGCCTGTTTATCTTTGTTCTGCAGCCTGCAATGCCCTCCTCTCCTTTGTTTGCTTCTTGGAGCCCTTTACTGCCCTTGGGCTGCCTTCTACCTCTGTGATACTATTTTAGCAGATTTCAGCTCATAGTGACCTCTCCTTTCTCTGAAACTCCTTGGAGAACCTATTATCTGGGACTCTGGGTCATCTATGAAACTTCTTCAACCTCAGTGTTATTTTCTGCAAAATGGGTATAATACTAGTCCTACCTCATAGGATTGCTGTGCAGGTTTAAAGGAGTAAAGTACATGGTAAACTTAGCACAGTGCCTGACACAAAGCCTCAAGGCACGTATTCAATAGATGAAAAATAATGTTATTAATAATTAAGATTGTAATTTTCATTACTGCCTGATGCTTTGTATTGTTTCAAGCTGATTCTTTCCTGAGGGGTGAACACTAGAGAATTGGGACCGAGTCATGTTATAATAGCTGCAATGCCTTCAGCACCAATATTCCAGGACATGTTTGTTGAGAACGTGTGAGCAAACCCTAACCTGGGAGTCAGAAACCTGATGTCAGTCTGAGCTCTGCCAGCACATGACCTTGACTTAGCTCCTTGGAGTCTCAGTTTCTTCCACTCTGCCTCATCATCCCTAAGACTTTATTTAAACATGGCTTTGAATCCAAGTCCTGATATTGATTCTCTGTGTTAATTCGGGCACATTCTTTTACTTATTTATTTACTTTCGAGTCAGAGTCTCACTTTGTTGTCAAGGCTGGAGTGCAGTGGCATGCTCACAGTCACCCCAGCATTGACCTGTTGGGCCCTGGCTATCCTTCCACCTCAGCCTTCCAAATAGCCAGAACTACAGGGGCATGCTACCACGCCCAGCTCATTTTTTATTTGTTGTAGAGATGAGGTTTCATCAAGTTGCCCAGGCTTGTCTTGAACCCCCGGGCTCAGGCAATCCTCTTACCTTGGCCTCCCAAAGTATAGGGATTAGAGGCTTGAACCATCACGTCCGGCCTTGGGCACATTCTTTAATCTTCTTTGGCCTCGGTTTCTTTATATGTGAAATGGAGATAATAATCTTCTTTTACTATTGACTGTGAGAATAAATGAAGTATTACTTATAAAATGCTTACCTTAGTACTTAGTTAATAGTTGCAACTGTGGCTGTTTTATCATTACCGTTTAGTTGGTAAACGCTAAACTTGTTGGGATGTATTAGTTTCCTGGGGCTGATGTAAGAAGCACTATAAATTGGGTGGCTTACATCACAGAAATTAGTGTTTCATGGTTCTGGAGCTTAGACGTTTGAAATCAAGGTGTTAACAGGGTTGATTCCCTCTGAGAGCTGTGAGGGAGAATCTGTTGCAAGTCTTTATCTTAGCTTCTGGTAGTCTTAGGCTTGTAGATGGCATTCTTCCTGGGTCTTCACATTGTCTTCCCTCTGTGCATGTCTGTCTCAGTGTCCAAATTTCGCCTTTTTCAAGGACACCTGTCATGATGGATTAGGACCACTCTAATGATCTCATCTTCACTTGAGTACCTCTGTAAAGACCTTATAAGATCACATTCTGAGGTACCAGGTAGTTAGGGCTTCAACATGCTTTGGTATTTTGGGGACACAGTTCTTCTGATAACATAGAAAATGATGACTAGTTAGTTATATTTCCTTAACTAAATAGAAATTAAAAAAAAAAATCACTTGACAATGATTTTTCAGGCCTTCACTTCACTTGATGTTCATGGCAATTCTTTTAACTAACTCAGGTAAGTAGAGTTAGTTTTGAGAAGATCTGCTTATTTCTGCAAAGCAGGTCCTAGGACTTCTGCCCTGAGTGGTATTTCCCATATGTGCTTTTGAAATTGTGCATCTATTGTTTCATGACACTGTTGCAGGCCCCCAGGATGGAAATAACACACAGATCTCAGGCAGCTGACATTCCTTCTGTGTTTTTTATAGCATTCTGCAAACTCTTGGGCTGTTTACATGTGATTTATATTCCTCCAGGGGCCCCTAAATAGATGTAATAAAAACAGATTTAGAATATTAATCTGATATGGCTCAGGCCAACAAGATCTAATATAAGTTTATTTAGTGGGGATGGTGGAAAATCTGAAAGAGTAGAGTGAGACTCATTTCTTAGCAAATATTTCTTGCTGGCTTCTATAAGCTTATTTCTCAAAGTGCAGTTTCTGGATTCACTGGATTGTTTGTGTTAAATGCAGGTTTCCCAGCTCTAACCCTGCCCTACAGGTTCAGTGTCTTTGGGGAAGGGATCCTGGGATTTGCATTTCTTTCTTTGAGCTGGAGCCTCACTCTGTCACCCAGACTGGAGTGCAGTGGCCGCTCCCGGCCACCGCAGCCTCGACCTGCCGGGCCTCGGCGATCCTTCCACCTCAGCCTTCCAAGTAGCTGGAACTATAGGCGTGCGCTACCACACCTGGCTAATTTTTTTTGAATTGTTGTAGAGATGAGGCCTCGCCAAGTTGCCCAGGCGGGTCTCGAACCTGTGGGCTCTGGCAATCCACTCACCTCAGCTTCCCAAGGCGTGGGATTACAGACTGGGCCACCGAGTCCAGATTTGCATTTCTATTGAGCCTCCCATGTGCTTAGTGGTGCTGACCTACTTTGCAAGGTTTGAGAACCACTGGTCTCAGGCATCCTCCCAAAAGACTGAGAGGACCAGGCAGCAGGTGTGGGACAGAGGGCCCAGGGATGGGCTGTGAGCAGGGGAGGAGTCCAGCAGCCATGGTGAGACCAGGTGTGTCTGGTCCATTGTGAGGTGACATCTGTCAAGTATAATGAAAGGACAGTGGTTATGACAAGTCCTGTAAGAGTTGAAAGTGTAGGTATTGTTGGCAGGTGTGTGGAGCTGGGGAGTGGGTCTCTGGCAGCCTCAATGTGAGAGAGATATGAGTACCATCACCGTCAGAGGATCTGGCAACTGGGGAGAGTTGGGGTGGGGTAGGGGGTGCAGGAGAAGCCTGAGGGGCTGCTGTTGGAGAGCTGTGTGCAAACTCAGGTTCCTGAGCTCAAACCAGCCTCTCTGCATTCTGCTCTGGAAATCTGTATTTTTAAAGCTCTTCAGGTGATCTAATGTGACCATCCCTCAGAACAGGATTTGAGAAGCCCAAGGGCCATGGAAAGAACTGGCTTTGGGACCAGTGGACCTTGCATTGAGTCCTAGCTTTGTGACCTTGATCATGTTACTAACTTACTCTGAGCCACAGTTTATTTATCTCTATGATGAAGATACAAATAACTTTTTTTTTTTTTACCATTGTGAGAATTAGGGATAAGGGATGTGATATGCTTAGCATGTTTTCTGGTACACAGTAGGTATCATTAGATGGAGGCTTCAAACTTTGTGACACCTGAGAAAGCAGGCACAATGACAATCCATTGGTCAAAAGAATCAACAGACTCCAGGATTGGAATTGAGATATAGTACAGGGCCTGGGTTCTAGACAATACCGTCTCTTTGTGTCCAGAATTGGAACTAGAAACAAAAGCAACACTAATGTCAAGACTCAAATAGCATTCACCATGCAGGCCAGATACTAGTTTAAGCACTTTATGTACAACCTTACGAGTTAAGTACGATTGTTATTATTTTACACATGAGAAAACCGAGACTTGGAAAGATATGTGCATGATCATATGATCATTGTGCAGCAGAATCAAGTTTCAGACCCAAGTTATCTGGCTCTGGGTCTTCAGCACCCTAATCCTGCCCTCTTCAGCCACATTCAAGGACAGAGTGGCCTTTGAACCGCAATGCTGAGTTTCAAAAGTAGGCTGAACCTCAGGGAACGCAATTCTGAATGTTTTCCCCCATGCATTCCTAGATGTAAAGTTGTACAGCCTCTTCATAACAAAGTTAGAAAGGCTGGCATTTTCATAACAGAACTGATCTGTAATAAGTCTCCATTGTTGCCAAAGACTTGATAAATTCCAACAGAAAATCCATAACATGAAATTGTCTTGTACTGAAAATTCCTTGACTACTTTATATTTCATTTTCGCGTAAGATTTGACCCCTTTCGTGGGTGAAGTAGACCTTCAAAGGACCTCTCTGACCACTGTTCCTTCTCCCTTATCCTTTAGTCTTACTAAATTAACCCCCATTCAGCTGATACTAATTTGAATGTCTACTCAAAATTTTCTCCACCTTACGTACGTAAAGCATTGACATGACCAAATATACTGGTTCAATTCTGAGAGTATTTTGTCAGAATTTCAGCCTTTCGTAACATTCTTCTCTTTCCCTTCTCTCTACTCTCAGGGTATAACCTTCAGTGGCAGTACAAATCAGGACAGCACACAGCTGCCAGGTCCTGCTCGCTCCTTGTCAAGAAAAACAGCTGGATCAATTTCTAATCAACACTTCCAAATATAACACCTCTGGCTCACTGAAGGAGACCAGAGTTTGAAACTTTCCAAAGACTTCCAATAGATATTGAATACAAAAACATACTTAGGTTGTCTTTGCACAAATCTGGTTGATTTGAGAGACAAAGGAGGAGGAAAGAGGTGTAATTTTCACCCAAGAAGTCACGGAGACATATTCCACATTTAAATCAGGTGATGGATGATGGTTACTGAAGCAGCCCAAAACTCAACCACAGAGCAACAAATATAGCTTGAGAGGCAACAGGGCAGTCCCAGAACCAAGCAATGGATGACTACAAGTATCAGGGCAACTATGAGGGCTATGCCCCCAGTGATGGCTATTACCGTGGCAATGAGTCCAATCCAGAGGAAGATGCGCAGAGCGATGTCACAGAAGGCCATGATGAAGAAGATGAGATCTATGAGGGCGAGTACCAGGGCATCCCTCACCCAGATGATGTCAAGGCCAAGCAGGCCAAGATGGCACCCTCCAGGGCAGATGGCCTTCGAGGTCAGACAGACCTGATGGCTGAGAGGATGGAAGATGAGGAGCAGTTGGCCCACCAGTACGAGACCATCATGGAAGAGTGTGGCCATGGTCGCTTCCAGTGGATCCTCTTTTTCGTCTTGGGTTTGGCCCTAATGGCTGATGGGGTGGAGGTGTTTGTGGTGAGTTTTGCCCTGCCCAGTGCAGAGAAGGATATGTGTCTGTCCAGTTCCAAGAAAGGAATGCTTGGTAAGTGGAAATTTCCAATGATTATTTTATTTGTGGCATTAAAAATATGAAAGGGTGGTACTACAGGCGCGGCTACTTGGAAGGCCGAGGCAGAAGGAGCACCGGAGTCCAGTGGGTCGATGTTGGGGTGCTGTGAGTGTGCCACTGCACTCCAGCCTGGGCGATGGAATGAGACTCCAACTCAAAAAAAGAAAAAAAAATATATATGTATTTATATAGCCGGGCTCGGTGGCTCAGCCTGTAATCCCGTGTTTTGGGAGGCTGAGGTGAGTGGATTGCCTGAGTCCATAGATTCAAGACCCGCCTGGGTAACTTGGCAAGACCTCATCTCTACAATAATCAAAAAATTAGCCGGGTGTGGTAGTGCGTGCCTGTAGTTCCATTTCTTGGAAGGCTGAGGTGGAAGGATCGCCGGAGCCCAGAAGGTCGAGGCTGCGGTGGCCAGGAGCAGCCACTGCG